TACCCCTAAAGTAAAAATATAGAACCATTGTTGAACTTACAGGCTTTCAGCCTGAAAAAAAAAAAAAAAAGACATGTTTACAGAGAATTTTTAATCCACAAACATAACCTTCATACTCCTTTTCCCATTTTCTCTTCATCGGGCATACTACAAAAAGAAACCTGGCAAGGGAGGATTGTTTACAACCAGAGTCAAAAGGATATCCTCCAAGAATGGTTTAAACAAAACCCATACCCTGATAAAGCTGCCAGAAAACAATGGGCCAAGGAAATTGGCATTCCAGTCTAAAATTCAGGTAAGCATCAGGTTTCTATTTCATTATCTGTCAGATTCAAGGTAAAGAGAAAGGCTGGGCTTAGGACTTTCAAGCAATTCTTAGGTATGTTGCTCAAAAGGATTTTATTGTTGTATATTAAAAACAAGAACTGTGTTTGTGTCTTTTATCAATTGTGGAAATATTGGCTGGGTATATTCACTGATGGGAGGAGCATATACTCCTCTATCTCCCAATAGGAGATAAATCAATTTTTGAGATTTAGGTAACTTAGGAAATTATAACACTATGTTAATGATATGGTATCATTAAGTGTTGATATAGGGCACCTGGGTGGCTCAGTCGTTGAGCACCTGCCTTTAGCTCAGATGGTGAACCCAGGGTCCTGGGACTGAGCCCTGCATCAGGCTCTCCTCAAATACCCTGCTTCTCCCTCTGCCTCTGCCTCTCTCTCTCTCATGAATAAATGAATAAAATTTAAAAAAATATATATTGATATATATTGGTATATACTGGAGCTCCTGGCTGGCTCAGTCAATAGAGTGTGAAATGCTTGATTACAGGGTCATGAGATCAAGTCCCAAGTTGGGTGTAAAGGTTAAATAAAAATAAAAATAAAAATCTTTTTAAAAATATGTTGATATATGCAGCAGAATGAGGATTAATATGTAATTATGAGGAAACTGTGAGGCAAGAACTCATGTAAGTTCCCAATTTTCAGGCTAATTTTTTTTAAATACCTGAAATGTGATTTACACACAGAAGTATATAAAGTAATACCCCATATTGTATTATTTGAATAGAGCTACTGGTGTGAAAATGAAACCATGTTGGATTTCTTCAGTTAACAGGGTGAGAGTTGTAAACAATACAATTATACCAGGTGAAACAGCATCTAAAACAACGAAGATCAGTAAAAATGTGCTTTTAGAAGAAAATAATGAGTTCAGATTTTTGTGTCTATATAGAGTCTCCAGTAAGCCACTGGCTCTAAGGCCCTTAGCCTGAAGAATGCTGGAGAGAAATTTTTCTTTACTCTTCATCCATTTGATCTGGGTGTAAAGAGTTTATTCAAATCCTAGTAATAAAAGCCCATCCTGTGGGAATATCTGATGATGTGCTTAAGACTTACCTGAAAATATTTTGATTAATTAATTTAGAGCACAGATAACTATTTAGCACAATGCCTGGATAAAAGAGTGGTTCATTAAATATTGGTTGTCATTAACACCCTAAATCTTATCACAAATTATCAAAATAAAACATTCAAATAATTAGAAAGTACATTGCAAATCTGACTCCAATAATGAGGAACAGACTTCAATGGGTTATATTTGTGACAAGAGTTTCACAGCAAGGTATACAGGGTCCCAGGAGTTGCCTTACCTATTGTTGATTATAGGATGAGGGAATATTGATGAGTACCGCTGTTGATTGTGGCTAATTTACTCCCTATTTAAAGAAATTCTTGGGGTCCCGGGATGGCTCAGTTGGTCAAGCATCCAACTCTTGATTTCGGCTCAGGTCATGATCTCAGGGTTGTGAGACTGAAACCCATGCTCCACACTGAGCTGGAAGTCTGCTTCTCATTCTCTCCCTACCCCCTCTCGTACACTCTCTAAAATAAAAAAAATCTTTTTAAAAAAAGATTTTATGTATCCATGAGAGACACACATAGAGAAGCAGAGACACAGGCAGAGAGAGAAGCAGGCTCCCTGCGGGGAGCCAGATGCAGGACTCGATCCCAGGACCCCAGGATCATGACCTGAGCCAAAGGCAGGTGCCCAACCACTAAGCCATCCAGGTGCCCCTAAATAAATCTTTTAAAAAAGATTCACATTCTCTAAAATAAATAAATCTTTCTTAAAAGATTCACATTCTCTAAAATAAATCTTTAAAAAAAGATTCTCTCTCCTTCTGCCCCTCCCATCCTGCTCATGCACTCTAAAAAAGGGGGGGCAGAAAAAAGGAAATTATTTTCCACAATCAATTCTATGTGTATTATACATTATAAAATGGTATTTTTTAATGTAAAAGTAATTATTTAATGACTGTAAGTAAGACCAAGCAATAGAATTGTGCTTCTTTTGCAGACTGGAGACAATAAAATGCTTAGCTACAATTTTCTCATACAAACATGAAATGATATTCATACAGAAGAAACACCCTCACAAATAACTGATGGGTAATGAACACACACCAAGTCTGACCAAAGCAAAACACAAACTGAAAACAGTTGTAATTACTCATATTTTTTTAAACATTTTACTTATTTATTCATGAGAGACAGAGAGGCAGAGACACAGGCATAGGGAGAAGCAGGCTCCACACAGGGAGCCTGACGCGGGACTCGATCCCGGAACCCCAGGATCACGCTCTGGGCCAAAGGCAAAACTAAACTGCTGAGCCACCCAGGCTGCCCTAATTACTCATTTTTTAAATTCAACATGTTCACTCTATTTAAAAATTAGTAAATGGAGAAGCTAAAAATGCTTCTATTTCAAGACATTAGAGAGCTGGCGTATGTAATTGTTTACAACTTGTAAAAGTAACTCAAATTTGAAGAAAATGCTAAACCACATGTTAAAATAAGATGGTATTAAGAGTTTATTTCCTTATTCATGAGAAACAGAGACATAGGCAGAGGGAGAAGCAGGGTCCCTACGAGGAGCCCAATGTGGGACTCGATCCCAGGACCCCAGGATCACGACCTAAGCGAAAGGCAGATGCTCAACCAGAGCCACCCAGGTGCCCCTTGGTATTTCTTATAAAGAGATAAGGGGTGGGGTGGGGGCAAGAAAAGGCATTCACGCATTGAAATCCTGTTATGAGAAGTGGGAAAAGGAGAAAGAAAAATATTGATCTCCTTTGATAGAACTGACAGTGTCTCTTCAATTTTTCTTGGGATACCATGATGACGACCATAAAAGATATGCTGTCCTGAACTGTATGCTGATAGTAATATAACTCCTAGGATAATACATCACCTTTTCCTTATGGGTATTACCCCAATGGCAGTTGATCAAAATCTATTGCATTGATATTTGGAATAACAGCGATTGAGTTACAGGGCTTTCACATCTTCTCCTGCTTAGATTTGGTTTAAAAACCATAGAGCGAAACAGAGACCATTGGAATTTGGATGCTCCTTCGGAAAAAACAAAACCCAAGGACAACACCAGTATCAGCCTTGGACTCAAGGTAAAAAACCATTGGTCCAGGGATGCCCTAAATCATTTAAATAAATAAAATCTTTTTTAAAAATTAAAAAGAAAATAAAAAAGAAACTACTGGTCCAAACGCATTTCTTCAGTGGGTCCCTGTGAAAGTGGAAATGACTCGGCATGTCGCACCCATATTCTTGACAAAAAACCATCGCCTTTGGGAGGCACTTACAGCTTGTTCTGAGCACCCTAGTGTCAGAAATAGAAGCATGGTCCCACAGCTGGCTAGCATAGGCAGGTTCTTAGCAAGCAAGGCTTTGGACCTTTTGGTCCTGTGGCTCTGGGCAGGGTGGCATCCTCTTCTGTCACCCTGAGGGACTCAGGTGGACTGAGTGTAATCTCCCCAAGTTCAAGTTCCCAGTTCAAAGATGAAAACTGTTCTAAAAGACCCCTTCTGTTCCTGTGTTCTCCTTTAGAATACTTACCAAAAGCAGCCAGACAAGACTGGACACCCATCACAAGGTCTCAATCACACACCCTAGTTCAGGCCTTCGAGAGGAACCAATTCCCTGATATTACAACCAGGAAAAAACTGGCTAAAAAAATGGGCATTCAGGAACCAAGAATTCAAGTAAGTTCTGTGACACCAAGTATGTTCTACCCATAAGTGATATTTCTCCCAGAGTTGCTGAAAAACTTTGACCTATCTTGGATTATCACAATCATCAAGGGTAAAGGTATGGGATGGTAAACATCTAGCTTGCTAGTGTAAAATGAAGAATGCTGTGAGTGGTATACACATTTAGAATCAGCAGCAGTGAAACTGTGAACTGTGGGGAAATGTGAGAGTTAATGCCTGTTCTGAGAACACTCTGACAGATTTTCTACAGCCTGGCACTGCTGTCATTTTCGTCCAGGTAATTCCCTTCTTGTGAGGCTGTCCTGTGCCTAGTAGGTATTTCTCAGCACTCCTGGTCTCTACCAACTAGATACCCCCACCCCCTCTCCCCCAATTTGTGACACCCTCAGAAATCTATATACTTAATCAAATGCCCTCCAGTTGGGAGAACAAAGTTATTCCCGTTGGGTACCTTTTAAAGTTATTGGGACAGTGGTTTAGTATATGTCAAATGCTCATGACTAAGCACATTCATAGGTTCATCAGCACAGAAACCCTCAAAAGACTTATACTCATTAATCCTTCATCAGATTTATACACACGACGTATATAAGATAGGGATTCTTAGGCACATGTTGGCAAAAAGAAAATATCAACCTAGTCAAGAAAACTTGTTTGCTGATCCAAGGTTGAAATCAAAGAGAGAAATCTAGAGCACATGCCTTTTCAGCCAGTCTCAATTCATCAGTAGCTGATTGCTGAGTATGTTATGACCTCAATTTGTTTGGATGTGTATTCACACACATTAGTACATAGACATTTATAAATACACACATATACATACTAAACACATGAGCCAGAGTAATTAATTTCACATACATGGAATATTTCTATTTCATTTGAAATTTATATGCACATGCACATACACACAACCATTCTGATATTGGAGCCTGTATTAATAGCCACTTCACTTTATGCAGTATGAGAAACAGAGGTACAATCACTTATGATTCCTCTTCTTTTCTTTACATAGATGTGGTTTCAGAACCAAAGATCCCTATACCCAGGGCAGAGCAGAAGTGAGTCCATGAATTCCTTGGCAGATGGCCCAAATGGAAGATCAGGTCTGACAGCTCAGCAGCACCAAATTAATCAACCCACTCTCCTGGGCAGGTCTCATCATTTTTCTTCCTCCAATTCTTTCAGCAGGAACCAAACATTTCTACCTGCTTCTCTCCCATCCCATGACTCCTCTGTCCCTTGTCTGAGCCAAAGACCAAGTGTCATGATGGTGCTGCCCACACAGAGAGAAAATTCTGTCTCTATTCTGAGCCTTAGGAATTACCTGCCAATGCCCTCGACTTTGGGAGGAGACCTCTCAGATACTCAGACTCTTTTCTGGTCCCCAAACCAAGAAAAATGCCAGAATCACAAAGAACAGAGTGGGATAGGAATCTTGCAGTTGGAAGGACTATTCTCAGCCTCATCCTGAGGACCAAAAACACCAGCTGCAGGACCTGGAGCAGGTGAACATATCTTACATTCTGCAACGGTGGGATAATGTGTGCCAGGCTCTGATTGCAAAATGGGATCCTGGAGAAGGGACACACTGAGACACACATGGCTGCAGTACTCGGCCAACTGGAGAATCATCCTGTCCCCTTGGCCTACTATACCAGTGATGTGTAGAAACCTCAAGCCTTTATGTTAGTTCCTATTATCCACAGGTTTTCAGGAAACAGTACCTTTTCTGAGTCCTAATCCACAGAAAGAGGGCCCTCTAGGACCCAACTGCGTTTCAGTGAAGATAATTTCAGGCTGTATTCTGTATGTTACAAAGCTCACCAGGGCCTCAGTTCAGGAGAAGGAAGAGGTCATTCTCAGAACCTGGTCCAGGCCTCTCTTCTTTTGATGCAGAATCAGTGCAACTTAAAGGACAGTGAATAATGAAGTCATCCTGTTTGGGACAAAATTAATCCAAGAGGAAGGAGAAAACAACTGGAAACTCAAATGGAGGTTTTAACTTTTTCGTGGGCAGTGGTTATCATCTTCTGTACTCACTTCACTAAGTAAAGGATTGTTTCTAAGCTGCATGTAGCCTTTGGAAGCACCATGGGCATTAACCAGCAGACAGGTCCACTGAATCCTTCCAAACAAAAGCATTTTTCTGAAACACGTGACCTCCTCTCTAATCATGATGTCCACCAACCTGAAACATCTATGAACTGTAACCAAACCCAAACGAGAATAGGTCTACAAGGGACATATCAGCACTCCTTTCTCCCCTAGCAAGATGGGAAAGCAAACTTAAAATTAGTTTATCATGTAGAAAATGAAAGGATAGTGTATTTCCTGATGATGTGAGTTCAGAAAAACGAGCTTTTGCCTAAAGCTCTGAGGATTTTAATTGGAACTAGAAATTATCTCAGTATCTACCAATACAGGAATGATTAAATGAATTAGGATAAATCCACGATACTGAGCATTCTTCACTTGTATTTTTTTCCTATTTAAAACATACAAAAAAAATTACAATGAAAATAGTCACACCATACAACCACTTAGTCTAATATTAATATTTCTACATTTTTAGGTTTTTCACATATATTTTTATATATATATATACACGCATATCCAGAAAATTCCTTATTGTAAATAAATTATGTATTAATCTAAAATCTAAGATAACCATTCTTATTTCCAGTCTTTCTTCTTCTGAAATGGTAAATTTTCAAAGTAGATTTTGGTGTATAAAGGTGTACATAATAAAAGTATCTTTGAAAAATACTTTTTGTTCACTTTATCAGTTTGCATTTTGTCATATTGCTTTGCTTTGCTTCATTTCCATATGGAAGATGTCAGAATAAGGTCCATACACATACAGCTAGTACTACAAAGATACCAGTTTTACACTAACACAAACAGGTATGAAGTATATATCATAACTGGTATCTAGGTGCAGTATGTGCAAGAGTTTCTCTAGATGTTCATACACTATACTAATGCTCAAGTACCAGAATATTCCAACATCAGTATTTATAGTCAAATTACACTAAGTAGAAATTATTTTTCCTTAGTTATACTTTATCACCTAATGAATTAACTCACTTATGTACACACACAGAGGACACCTTAATTACTGTGGCATCTACCAAAAAAAAAAAACCCACAAAAAAACCAAGAAGAATCTAATATATTTGATAGCGTTTATGCTATGAACAGATGAGGCTTGAACAACAGAAATTCATTTTCTCACAGTTCTAAAAGTACTTGCCAGTATGGTTTCTTCTGAGGCCTGTTTCTTTGCTATGCTAATGGCCAGCTTCCCCCTGTGTACTTAAATGGTCTTCCCTCTGTGTGCGTACTCCCATTGTGCATCTCCATGTATCCAAATTCCCTCTTCTTGAGTTTGGTTTTCTTAGATTTCAGTGTATGGTCTCTGGCTTAGGTTTTGATTTGCTTGCCAAAGGCACTAGAGCTAATTAACTTGCATGTTTAACAATTTTAACACATACAAGAATCTATTTGTACAATGTTTTCACCGCCTGCTTTAAAAATGTTAGAAAAAAAATAATATGATTTACTTCAATCTGTAGTGTAGGCAACAGCTACCAACTAAATACATAAAACATCAAGCAGAACAGTCATCAGCAAGCTTCTTTGAAGAGCCCAGTTGAGCTCTTCAAGTCTTTGGACACAAATTTATGACCTGAGGCAGCCCATGATGCCAAGGAGCCAAACTCATAAAATGACCTGATACTTCCCCCAGAAATACCCCAAAGCCAATAAACTATCAAAGCTGAAAGCTGCAGGGAGAAAATTTTTAAAAATGAACAATTGGGGAAGCCCTTCTCGTTGACAGGCCCAACTACACTGAAAGCTACAGAATCCAAGAGCTAAAGAGCAAAAAGATATGCAGGATGACTCTCAGGGTAATGTTTATTATTGACAGAGAAGCATAAATAGCACTTGCTTTAAGAAACATATTAAAAAACCCTAAGGTTAAGTTATAGGAAAAATAAGAACTCAAAAGGTTAAGTCCAGGTTGACGATAATGGTGATAATAACCCACCCCTGGGTAGATATTCTTGTTCCTAGAGAGTCACTAGGATTTATCTGTACAATGATGTTAGCAAACTCTTTTTTTTTTAATTTTTAAAAATTTATTAATGAGAGATACAGAGAGAGAGAGGCAGAGACATGGGCAGAGGGAGAAGCAGGCTCCATGTAGGGAGCCCGACATGGAACTATCCTAGGACTCCAGGATCAGGCCCTGAGCTGAAGGTGGGGCTAAACCGCTGAGCCATCCAGGCTGCCCAATTTTAGCAAACTTTTATTTGGGTTTTCACCTTCCCTTTCACACCACATTCCCAGAGAAGGTTACACAAGCTGCAGCCCAAGAAAGAAAGACCTTGATTAATTTAAGTCAATCTAGTCATTTAGGAAGTTAGGAAGGGCATGTGTCAAAATTGTGGCCAATGAGGGACACCTAGGGGGTTCAGCAGGCGAGCAGCTGCCTTCAGCTCAAGGCATGTTCCTACCTAGAGTCCTGGGATCAAGTCCCGCATCGGGTTCCTTCCACGGAGCCTGATTCTCCCTCTGCCTGTGTCTCTGCCTGTCTCTCATGAATAAATACAATCTTTAAAAAAAAAAAAAAGATCTGGCCAATGAGAAGCCTAGGGGCTTCTGAGAACGGTTGCCTGGCAATAAAGGAGACACAGAGAAGGAAACTGTCCCACTCCTGCTGTTATAACTGTAACAGCCAACTTCTGACCCTGAAGGAAGCAGCCTAAAAGACAAGCTAGGGATAGCAGAGCAGAAAAAAATAAAAAGAACCCTGAGGCTACCTACCTTAGGACTTCTGGTTATACATATAATATATAATCCCAATTTCCTTATTATTTGAAGTCCTTTAGGTTTTCTGTTACAAGCAATTAAATACATCTTATGGATACAGGCAGAGGGAACACATGATCCAGCAAACAGCATTAGACCAAAAACAAGAGATCTCAACGATTCAAGCAGCAGCTTAAACTTTTAAGATGCAACCATTTCTGCTTAAAAGGGACAGGGAACAAAGGAAAACTGAATACCAAGAGCATAGCCCACTGTTGCAGTTTACAAAGAGAAATGTTTCTGACACTAATGAAGGTATACAAGTCATTTAAGGCTTAGAAAATTTCAAAAGCTGAACTGCAAGGATATAGAGGAAATAGTAAGGAAGGTCCAAAATTCAGGAGCTAAAATTTAGATTAAGAAATAAGGTTTCCCAGAGCACACATCTCATAAAGAATTTGGCAGCTCAAGGGAGAGGTATCCTGACTTTAGGACTTGATTTGGAGCAGATGCAGCCATAAGCTCAAAGGCATTAACTATCAAAACTCAACCCATCTTCCTGGCTTAGATTTGTGCTCCCCAAAATACTTCTGATAGTTTCCCAACATATACCTCCCAGCCTAAAACAGGTATTTGAAAAGTTACTGGTTTATAAGGAGTGCTTTGGTTTACACATCTTTTGGGAGTCTAGGTTGAATGAATCAGACCCTTTTGCACATGCTTTGACAAAACTGAAATTTCTAGCCCTATAAAAGGGGTATTAACTTTGCTAAGGTATAAATATCCTAAATGATACCTCCATTTCAGACCTAAAGTACTGATTTTCAACTATCCTAGAGTCAGATCTGACTGGAGAACACATTTTATTTATTTTTGAGAGACAGCAAGTGTGTGCACATGAAAGCACAAGTCAGGAGGGAGAGAAGGCCAGAGGGAGAGGAAAATTTTAAGCAGACTCTGTGCTGAGCACAGGGTCCAACATGGTATATGATCTCACAACCCTGAGATCATGACCTGGGCAGAAATCAAGAGTCAGACACTTAACTGAGCCACCCAGGCATCCCTGGAGAACACATTTTAAACAAAAGCCCACTACCCAGTTCTTCCCAAAACCTACTTAACAATTACTCCTGGAGTGAGCTAGGTACTGGGAGCAGTTGTGTGCTTTCAACATACTAAAGAAAAGGGCAAAGTGATTTAGGCTGGGTTCCCCCAGAATCAGACTCTAAGAATTTGTGTGTAACTGACAATTTCAGGATGTACTTATTAGGGAAGTACAGATGTGAAACAAGGAAAGGAAGCTTATGTAGGGCACTTGTGCACACAGATTACCACTATGGGTCATTATGCTTGTTTCTACTGGGGACCGCAAAAAGAAGGCATGGATGCCATTATCCCACTCGGGAGGCTACAGTTGTGTCATTTTTCTGGACAGCAAGGAAAGTGGGTCTGCACCCTCTAATTCTCATCTGCCATGAGCCAAAAACCATTGCCAGAGGCATTGACTCCACAGTACTCCAAGCAGATGGAAAGCTTGAAGCAGGCACTTGCAGTAGGACTCCTGTCGGCACTTGCTGGACATTGAGTGCCCAGAGAATATAGGTGGAGCACCAACACCTTCTGTTATACACCTGATGGTTCCTGATTGGTTTCTCTCTTTGGCACTCAGCAGTTTAGTGTTTTACCATCTCTCGTGGTAAAAGATCTTTGATGCAGATCTCTCTGCTCCATCCAGAAGAACTAGCATCTTTCTAGTAGCTACTACTTCTAAAATGAAACCACTTTGTTCATTATTGACCCAATTGAGAGCCCAAAGATATCAG